GTGAGATGCATATCGTGATAATATCATACTTTGAGATTTGGAAATCATTACATCCCTTGTTCAAAATGTGTCAGGTATGAAGGTATGTGTAAAGGCGCAGCACTAAAACCTTTAAACAAATACGTGACACGGATATTTATTTGTGGTGGAGACACATAATGAGTGATAGATCATTTCCAGTCCATCCTCTGTGCAGTGTATAACATGGATGGCATTTAGGCTTTATTGGGCCCCTGCTGTGAGTGCACTGGCCCTCGAGCTCTATTTCTGACCCAGAGTTTTGGCTTCCTGGATTATGTTGTAGCTTATTATGGCCATGTTGGGTTTGGCTACAGACTAAGAAGCCATGCTGTCTGTGGAAAATGACTGCTGCTGTGCAATTACAACCTCTGCTTCCCTGCCCGCGTACAGAATATGCATATCATTTAACAATAGAAACACCCAGAAGCACAGTCAATGGTGTGTACGCTGTTACCATAACAAATCATGAAGCAGAATTATCTCCTAAAACATATTCTAAATGTACAATATTGCTAAAAATGAATTGGAATAAAAAAGGAAAAGAATGCAACACTTAAAGGTTTGGGTGTCCGTCGCGTGCTTGTTTCCATATATATGTCACTGCCTTGCCTAGAATGTTCCACAGTTTGACATTAAACAGCTCTAACTTACATTTATTACCTAGAGAAACTGGCAATGGAGTTGTCTCTCCCCAGATCTGACCTGTAACTTGGTCTGGTTTGAGTTCCATGAAGATAGAAAAGTTCAATACTTGAAACATTCCAGACAAAGCAATAACATCTCCATAAAGAAAAGCATTTAACGGGCCCTTCACCAGAAAAGCTACACAATGCACCTTTAAGTTGTTAGTTTGCATCTGTATGGAGTCGTAAAAGTTTATACTACATCTTAAATCTCATCGTAGTACAGAAAAATAGCAACAATTTTTCCACTAGTACTAATAAAAAGTTCCCACGATAAATGTTGACCTCCAAAAATTATTGATCCATCTGACATATACTGAACGATAAGTTGATACAGTAATTATCGTGACCTAATGATTTATTTAGTTTTTAATAGTTACCTTGCAGTCAAATCACACAATGTGTGGTTTTCCATTGTTAATTCTAAATAAAGCGTGTGCCCATGAACATATTTGTGATTTGGTTATTGTTTTTGGGGCGTGTTCAGCAATCAGATAATCAGCTGTATATCCACTGTTTGCTTACTCATTATAGGCTATTAACAGTTCCAATTATCTTTGAAGATTACACAGACAATTCTCTGTAATTATGGCTCTGTTCACTGTGTAGGTGCCGGCAACCATTGATCCAACTTCAAGATTTACAGAAATGGATCTCCCTAAATAAGAGATCTGCCAGAATATAAATATATCATGATACCGAATTTGGTGATGCAGTATCGTTATCATGGGCTGCTCTATCAATATATAATACAAGAGTTTTTTGTCATATTTATTTATTAAATTATTTTGTTATGGTGCCATAATTCTTTTGTTTGTTCAGAGAAAAGAATCTTATCTAATTCTTATCTTTATGCAAAACATTTGACATATTCACTGTTTTAAGGGTTACACCTGGTTCACTTCATATTGATTTTGTGCACACATAGCAAAGAAATACTGTTGTTAAAATATATGTGCTTCTTAAAAATAGTGATATATTGCAGTATATTATGCACAATATATCGATTTAGCGTATGTATTTCCATATTGTGATAATATTGTATCGTGAGCCATGTATCGAGGATCATATGGATTCCCAGTCATATTCCTGAAGCTATTTTACACCCACAACCCTGCTCCATTGTCCCCAGTTTGATCATTCAGAGATCCCAATACTATGTTGATAGAAACAAGCCCGGCTGCAGACATGACAGCAGCTTAGGATTTGATGGTGGGTGTGCGTAGAAAGCAGAGAGCCTGTGCATGTCGACTCAAATAGGCTTAAAGCATCTGAGCTAGTGAACCTGTAACCGGGTTAAAGTGCTCTGAAGACTGCTCTGTGATGCTTCAGTAAGATTGTGCTGTGAGAATGGAGGTAATGAGAGCAGCTCCTTGCCTATAGGCCGCTGAACATGAGACCAGTCGGGGGTGTAATGGTGAATGGTGTCAGAGTGGGTTTTTAAGATTTGATCAATTCCTTCTTTGTCTCCAAACTATCTGCACTGATCAGGTTTTCTTAAGGTACAAAAAAAAAAATTAAAATACAGGAGTGTGAAGAGCTTGAAGGCCCACTAAACAGACAGATGACAGATTTTTATGATTCTCTCATTTTGAATTCAGTTGATTATAACTACTGATAGTTTTACACCAATCAAAAAGCAATTAGCGAAAAAAAAAAAAAAAGTTGAAAGATATGTTGAAAATAACAGGAAGTAGAGAGTTCAAACATACTGATGACAGTCTATACAAAAGTTCAACACATTTTAAACGTAAGAAATGCAACAAAATAAAGGTGTTTTCTTATATTTGTATTGGTCAGATAATAATGTCTGTGTTCATTTGTTTTTGTAGGTAACAATTATGAAATTCTCTAGTGTGATATCCCAATTTCCAACCAGGAATTAAAATTTTAAACCTAAAAAAATGGCCAGATTGGGGAAACAGGTGTGAATGTTTTTGCAGCAATCTTAAATATAATGATTAACTGTGTTTTAGTAAAATGAGCAGTCTACCCCGTCATAGGCACTTAAAGTGTTTTGGGATTTTACCCAATTCCCACCTTTGAGACTGGACAGTAGAAAGTAGAAAGGGGGCTGAGAGAAGGCGGGATAGCAGAGAGCAGGGTTCCTCCCAGGGGCAATGGATAAAAACAGTAACACTCTTGAGTATACAGTCAAAGCAGGTGGTCCAAACCATTTGTAGATACACTGAACAGAACGATGGCCGGGTAGAGTGAAGAAGAAGCTTTTTAAATGGAATAGAACCCCCAATTCAGACATGCATCTATGGAGGGATACTGAAACTTAAATCAATGGATGGTGAGCAATTTGCTGAATTACATACATTACATACGACATACCACTGAAGCTAATCTTGTTTCTCTACATTTTTGACTTGAGGCTGTCAGTTGCTTGCCTGCTTACTATTTGTTCCAGCAAAAAGAGAAAGGTTTTATTCTGTCGCTTGTTAGAAATTGGCAAATTATTAGTCATTAAAAAGTACCTGTTTTCTGGTCCTAAGAGCAGTTTTTTTGCGGAAACACTTTGGGAAATTGGTTACTTTTGTCTAGTTTATATTGTGACTAGTTTATGTTATGACTGTGTGAAACCACAGTCTGACAGTGGGTTTCCAGTTTAAATTTACACTTCTCTGTCAACCAGGAATACTAAATTGAAGCTCATTTTTGTCTTAATTCCTGCTTTTGGCCTTTCTCCCGGTTACCACATGGTTTCACTGGAAAGCAGTTTGTAATGTGGCACTGACCCATTCACTCTGACTCCGAACAGGCTCCGCTCTCCTCCCCACCGTGGGACTGTTTGCTTGGGCCATCATAATAACAGTCAACTGCCTGATCTGGAGCTGCTTCTTTTCATTTGGGTGTAGAGCGAGTGCTTCTTACTGACTCCTCCTGACTCTAATCCTACAGTGTGACCTGAACTGGCTGGTGGTATTTCCTCCATTGAATTTGAACATGCCACTATCTGGCACTTGTATTTTGGCTCGTGACCATGCTGGGGTGGACACATCAAGTCTTCTACACTTACATTTAGTCTGCGAAGATGACACCTGAGCATGCCTAGAAAGCTTTCTAACACCAAACCTAAAATTATAAAGATATATTACTATCTGTGAGTAGGCCTGTCACAATCCATTAATAATCAATATTGTGAGTACTTTTTCTTTGTACTAGTGTCTGTACTAGTGTCTACTAGAGGAGATGTGTTCGTATTCATACCGTTTATCTCCTGCATTTTCATCAGCAATATATTGAACTTCAAATTTTTGTGTGTCGTGATAGCTGTGGGTCAACATTTGCAGCAGTCAAAAGCCAAATGTAGCATAAGGGTTGAAGTGTTGGGTTATAATAGTACTGGAGGTTTTACTGTAGGGCTTCTAGCTGGTCCTCTGCTCAGTCTCTTTGAGTATCCAAGCAGGGGAATTGGTCGAGTCGCCTTCTATCTATCCATTTTGTGGTGACCAGCTTACACATTAATAGTAATCTCAGAGACTGTTGTCGTTTTGTGTTGTTTCATGTACAACAAACATTTCAAATCTTGCTCTTTTATCTTAACCTGTTTAGCCTGGTTCCCAGAAAGGAGTTTGCATTTGTTGGAGATTAATTTTGCTCACCAGAAAGAACAGATGGACTGCACTGGCTGAGAAATGCTGCACCAAATGTAAATATAGCACCTTGTTGCTGTGGTTGTGACTGTTGGGCATTTCTGGTGTTTTATCCTCTTTAAATGTAACTTATTTATTATCATTAGACAATAATGGCCATTTTAAAGAGGTAGAGGGGTTCCCTTGTAGTTTTCTACTACAAGCTTTAAGATTCACTCAGAACTAAGTCTAAGATGACCCATGGTATACTATATTTATTATACATTTGTCTTGAAAGAAAATGCTGCCACGTTTCACTGTGGTTTTTAACCCAGAGACACGAACACAAACTTATTACAACTAATAATTAAACCCTGATGTAACAGTGGACTTGGAGTTCCTGTTCATCCACTTATATTTAAATATTTGTGATGTCAAAAGGGTGGGAGCTGAAGTGTGGCTTTAAAAGGCAGACAGGGAAAAACAAGACTATTGCATATAGAAGAAAACACAGATCTATTGCACTATTTCTTAATTTAGATTTTTCAAGAAGTTTCCAAAAACGTCTGGGTCTTGAATAAACAGAAACAGAAGACGCAGACAAAACATTTAAGGTTTGGTTCAGTTTAATTGCATTTGTACAAGTGGGACAGTCCCATGTCTGATTATGTTTTACATTTAATTAATATGTTTTCATTTCCTGTTATGTTTACAGAATGCTGAGAAGAGAATGACTCCTTCCAGTTCTTCGAGACACAGTGTCATTGCTGCGGTCTCTGGGCAGCCCTCTCGTCTCTCCGGGGTACTGTTCCCCAGTCACCCGCCTGGCCCCCTCTGTTGTGTCCAGTAGTGGTCACCCAGCATTCAGGAAAGGCTCCCCTGTAAATATGCCTGAATGGAGGGCTCAGTGGCATCTCGTCCTGCTGAACTCCCTGACATGTGGCCTAGAGATCTGTGTGGCAGCTGCAACCACATATGTGCCCCCACTGCTGCTGGAGGCGGGTGTGGAGGAGCGCTACATGACTATGGTGCTAGGTAAGCCCATGTAAACTCCTAGGCTGTAAGTGCCATTTCATAAGGTTTATGCATTTACATAAATCATAATTTATCTAATATTTTATTTATGAATTATGATACTCAATTTGTGTTATAGTACATTGCTGTACTGTTGCTCACTTGTTTGTTTCCTCTTATTGTATTTATTAATTAACTGGTTTCAAGATTATGCTATGAAAAAGGAATAAAGAGTAGGCATAATAAGCTCAAGTTTCAGCCTACACCTTTTCTGTCCTTTTCTGTCTGTGTATGTTAAATATGACTGTGGAATAATGTCAGAATATACCTGTGACTGAAATAAATTAATCAGTTAGCAATTCATTGATAATTCATTTGTATTTCTGTTTAAAGGTGCACTGTCTAACTTTTTGGTTGGGGGTCTATCAGCTAGATATGTAATTTCTCTGGAACCTTCCACAGTATGACATTTAACAGGTCTGTCTTACATTTATTCAGTTCGAGATGGTTTTATAGCTGAAAAGTACCTAGAAAACCAGGCATTCTGACTGTGAGCAGAGTTACCTCTTCACAGATTTGACCTATAACTTGGTCTGGTTTGGTCTCCATGAAGATAGAAAAGTTTAATACCATACTGTGAAACATTCCAGATAAAACAATAACATCTACATGGAGAAAAGCATTTGACAAATCCTCCACCAGAAAAGTTAAACAATGTACCTTTAAAAGCAATGTAAAAATGTCAATATATACATGTTGATTTAAAAAGAGAAAGAAATAGAATACGTGATTTGCATATTTGAGGGTGCACTACTTCCTGTCTGTTGTATTTTCATGTAAAGACACATGAAGAAATGCTCTTAAACTTTAGTGAAATATAAAGAAAAAGGCTGGAGAAACAAGTTGTAAACACGTAAGACAGGCTGATTAGTCATCTTTCTTTTCTGAAGAGGTTAAATTGGTTACAAAGACCAAATGAAGTATAAGATTAGCCTCTAACTAACCTCTAAGTAACAAATTATTATTTATTCTTATTCTCTAATATTGCATGATTGCATTTGTCACTGGGAACTTTCTTTTGGATACTTTTGCTGAATTTTCAACACATTTTTGTGAGACTAAATTGTTAACACATTTTACTGTAAGCCAGTTTGACAGCCTGACCTCAAATAAGTACTAAATATTTTTAAGCAGTATTAAGTGACACCATTAAACTTCTAATTTAGTTTACTGTAAGTGTCTATGCTACCAGTTTAAGTCTTTATTCAAATAGGTTTTTGCTTGTGTCCTTGATGTTTAAAAAAAGTCTCAGGGCATGTACCTTTTCCTTATTCACGCTGTAGTCACATAACTGGTGCTGTTATGCTCTAATGAGTGGTAGAACCTGTTGTTTCTAATGCTGGCAATTAGTGAGTACTTAAAAGGCGGCAGGAGATCAAATGGTTGGAGTAGAGATAACATAAAAACACCCACTGCATTTTATTAGCCAAAAACATGTCTATTTTTCCCCGTCTCAAACGTGTTACTGCTAAATGCTATATTATTCTGTATTTTGTGTAGGCTAATAGTATTAAACTTACTAAAGCTCATTTATACCAATAAATATGGATGTTCATTGATTTATTGTGTATTACGTTTGGAAGTATAGGAAACCCTGTATCCTTTTATCCTTTTATTGTATAATTTACCATAGTAAAAATCATCAGAAGGTTAGGTATGTGAAATAGCAAATGCCGAACATACCATTCAGTACTGGTGTTTTCATTCAGAAGCTGTTGAGATGAGAGGTATGAAGAGAAGAGATCACCTAGAGTATATGGACTATATTTAACTGGGTTTACTTGTGGTAGCTGTGAATAGTTGCATTATACTGTGAGCCTAAATGGTTTTCACATGGTTCTCACTCAAAGCATGTCTTTGAGACATTGTCTTGTGACTTTACAGATGGTAAATCCAGTTCTACCAAACTGAAAGGCTCAGTTAAATGACATGAAGTGACTATTCAAGTAAAACGACAAAACAATGTACACTTTTTCTTTAACAACAGCTGGTCGTATAAGGGGAAATTATTTCTTTGTGAAAGTCGTAGCAGAAGGAGAGCACTGTGAGCCAATCTACAAATGGCACTCAGCCTATTCCCATCGTCCCATTTTATAATGGAGTGCATGAATGTTATTTGAATGAAGATAGATATTGTGTCTTGGGAGGATAAAAGTTAATTTCCCTGAGCAGCAGAATCTGTTTTACATGGCTGCTTATGCTATCTCAAATCCCTTTGCGAGATGCTTTACCTACGAGTTGTTACCTACTTTCTCTAATTTACTTTCTCCAGCTTTAATATCTCCTGGTGAGAGCTAGTGCAAAATCTGTAATCTCAAGAAAGGATTAAATGTTATTTTGTTCCCTGAAATTCTAAATTAAATGGTTAAGACACCATCCCAATCCACTTTATTTGTATGCCGCATTTCACAAACAGTGCTGCACAGAGACAGGTAAAAACGTTCCAGATAAATAAATAAAAAAGCAGGCAATAAATAGACTTAATCCATACAATTTGTTAAATGAAATAAAAGACACAGACTCCATGGTGATTATCAGTGAGCATACACTGCCACTGTGTTCAGTGGTTAGAGCTGCTTTTGCATATGCCGTATTGCCACACATTGAGTTTGACTATTTTTTCAATGGCCCAGTAAAAGAGAGTCTAGTTTATGTTCCTATTTTCAATGCATTATGATGACTGAAATTAACTATATTTAGGAGCTGATGACCTCAAGGGCCCCATCTTCTATTTAAAATGTGTTTTCTGTGTTCACAGGTATTGGTCCAGTTCTTAGCCTCTTCCTCACTCCTTTTGTGGGCTCCGCCAGTGACAACTGTAACAGTCGATACGGCAGACGGCGGCCGTTCATCTGGCTGCTATCCCTTGGTGTCCTTATAGCACTTTTTATCATTCCCAATGCAGATATACTTGCTTCACGGCTCTTTTGGGGTGGACAAAGACTCCAGGTACTTAATCATTTAGAAATGTGTTTGTGAATATTGGAAATAAAATGCTTAAAACATTCACTGAGTCATGCGTTTGCAGGTGGGCTTCCTGATTATTGGTGTAGGACTCCTTGACTTCTGTGGACATGTATGTTTCACACCACTGGAGGCTCTGCTGTCAGACCTGTATCGAGAAGAGGAAGAGTGTGGACAAGCCTTTGCCATGTTCTCCTTTATGGTCAGCCTGGGTGGCTGTGTGGGTTACTTGCTTCCTACACTGGATTGGAGTGGTGGTGTGCTCTCTGTTTACCTTGAAAGACAGGCGGACTGCCTTTTTTTCCTACTCATTCTCATCTTCGTGTCCAGTCTGATGATTACTATGAAGGTGTCTGAGGAGCCGTCTTGTGCCAGCAGCACTCTGACTGTCTCCAGTTCTTTATTGGACTCAGGAGCTGCAATGGAGGCTGGCCGTTGTGGCTTCCCACGTACTTGCTGCTACTTTCTTAAGTGTAAGCTAAGGATCTGGAAGTCTGGGCCATTGTTGTGCCTGCTGAGAACGTGCTGGTCTATCTATAGAAGTTACTGCCACGTTCCCCATGTTATGAGGCAGCTTTGTGTGGCTCAGCTCTGCAGCTGGATGGCTGTCATGTCTTTTGTCCTCTTCTACACAGACTTTATTGGTGAAGGGCTGTATGATGGAGTACCCAATGCAGCTCCAGGAAGTGTCTCTAGACAAAGATATGATGAAGGTCAGTTTTCAATGTTTAATCTGTATAATCAAATTCATGTACTTTTAATGTAGAGTAACAGTGTGAACAGTTTTCAGTGGTCCAAAGTTATTATTTTACCACATACATTCCAAACATCTTAATTATTCACTGCAATGAGATTTAAACAGCTGCTAGGGACCATTGTGGAGTTTTGCCTTGATGAGTACGCTCAAAAACTAGTATGTTAACGCACACATTCTGATAATCGGATCTTTTTCTCTTCAAGAGCAGCATATATAATATAGCCGTTGCTAAAATTCTTTGCCCATTCATCAAGTTTGTTAAAGTGCAGAATGGCTTAGTATTGTACCTGGGAAGGTGCACATACTTTCACTAATTCAGCCAGTCTGCCCCAAGGCAGCTGTGGCTACAATAGCATTTTACCACCACCGAGTGTGGAGTGAAGCAATAATGCAACGTAAAGCACTTTTGGGTGTCTTGAAAGGCGCAATATAAATCCAATGCATTATAATTCTTCAAACATCTTAATTCTTAAACTCAACTCTTAAAATGAAGCTAATAATATATCTCAGTTTTGTAATCTGTTTAAGCATGTGTAATATGGGTTAGTCTTTAAAATGTAGATTTGATTTTAAATGGCAAAAATAAAATTTTTGCATAATATTTTTAAGCAGAAGATAGCACATAATCTGTAGCTCTATTATTCTTTTTGAGAATCTTTTTAGTACAGGTATCAGGTATTTTCACAACTGCACTCGCACCTTTGACATTTTCTTTCATCTATCCACATTCTTTCGTCTTTTTGTCCCTTCTCTGTTTACTTTATACTTTTCCTTCTGTCTTCCCCTCCCTTCACTCACTCGACCACAAGGAATGTCACACTCACAAAGAATTAATGTCAAGAAATCAACCTAGAAGAAACATGTTCATTCAGGTTTGGTAGACGTTCTTAGCTTAGCCTTATAAGGTGCTGTGCTTTCATACGAAGGTAGTGAGAGCATGTTAGCATCCAAAATGAACATGGTTAGACTTAGACTTACTTACACTTAGACAAACTTCAGGGACATTATTTGAAACCCACTAAAAGTCAGATGTTTTTAAAGACATATTGCAGTTGTCAGGCAGTGTCACTTCTGAGGGACTCCAACTCAACTCTTAAAGGTGCACTGCACAACTTTTCTGGTGGAGGGTTCGCCACCTGCTTGTTTCCATGGAGATGTTGTTGCTTTGCCTGGAATGTTACAGGATATGATTTTAAACATTTCCATCTAGCATTTATTGATTACGAGTGTTTCTCTTACTCAATAATTTGGGGTGACTCCCACAGATTTGAATTTTAATGTGGCATAGCGCTGTAACCTAGTTGTCTCCCTCGTGATCAGTAAGTTGAATCTATATGGTGGAACATTCTAAACAAAGCAAGAACATTTCCAGATGGCTGATCCTCCACTAGAAATATGTGATGCACCTTTAACAAATTTATCAATTCAAATAATTTTAATAATGTTTGATTTTTTTAGGTATTCGCATGGGGAGCCTGGGTCTCTTCATGCAGTGTGCTACCTCAACAGTCTTCTCCCTGCTTATGAGTCGACTGGTGCAGCGCTTTGGCTCTCGCAGAGTCTATGTGAGCAGTATGGTGAGCTTCACATTGTCTGCACTCGTCATCTCTGTGTCTAAAAGTGTGGCCCTCGTCACTGTAATGGCGGCGCTCACTGGCTTTGCGTATGCCACTCTTCAGACCCTGCCTTATACACTCACCTGCCATTACCATAAAGAAAAGGAGGTTTGTAGTTCAATATTAAAAGTATTGTGTAACTTGTCTGGTGGAAGGCCTGTTATCTTGTTTCTATGTATATGTCATTTCTCTGCCTGGAATGTTCCTTAATCAGCTCTGCCTTACATTTACCCAATTATAGGTGGTTTTATAGCTGAAAAATACCTAGAAAAACAGGCCTTCTGACTGTGAGCGGAGTTGCCTCTCCACAGATCGGTTCTGGTTTGGTGTCCATGAAGATAGACAGGCTTAATACTATATCCTCCGAAACATTCCAGGCAAAGCAATAATAAAGCATTTGATTGAGCCTCCACCAAAAAAGTTACACTATGCACCTTTTAAAATGAATATTGTTATTTGTTTTTTTCATTAACTAACTAAAATTATGAATGCATTTGTGTGCTTTTTAGATCTATATGCCAAAAACGAAAGCAAAAAACATGCATAAAAATCATATTACAACCAAGAGGGACTCCATATATTTGACATCTGTGGACGTGGACAGTAGACTGACCAACCAAAAGGGGCCCGCCTATGGACAAGACCCACACGAACTCTACTCCAGTGCTTCCAGTCTGAACGGCTCAGTGCCTAGCAGCTCTGAACAGCAGGATGACACTGAGCCTGGCTTTGAGAAGAGAGGTGTGGGGCTGGACTTTGCTATATTAGACAGCGCCTTTCTAATCTCTCAGGTTATTCTTACCTTTTTCATGGGCATGATCGTTCAGTTTGCGCAGTCTGTTACAGCTTACATGGCCTGCTCGACCATCTTTGGTGCTGTAGCAATCTACTTCAGTGGTCGAATTGTCTATGACCAAAAGGACCTGAACAGCTATAATATGCTGTAGATGAGACATTCTGTAGGTAATTGTATACATTAAGAAGCCATCCAGGTTCTGTGGATATAAATTCAAGAATGCACTGTTTTTGTTTTGTTTTGTTTTTTCTCGAAGAATGCCTTTCTCTATCGCCAAGTGTTTCTAAAATATGGGAATGTTTTTTCCTAGGGTGTGAAAGTGTATGGAAAAATGTGTGAAATGTGTCCATTGACTTTTTTCTCAGGAACAACCTTACCGATATTACTGTGGAACTCAATTCAATACCTATGAGCTATGTGTAGTTTTGGTACAAATTCTAAGACTGTAAATAATCATATTGAGGTGGCGTTTTTCTGGGATATTTTCCAACTTAAGGGTTTTTATTGTATTTACACAAGATGGCCTTTGACTGTAGTTGGTTTGGTTAAGTTACCTAAACCTTTACATTTTACAAAACAGCATTTTCAGTTGACAATCTTAAGGCAATGCATATTGCTGGGTTTCAGACGGCATCACAACATCCTATTGAGCAATACTAATTCATACAGATGGGGCAAAACTAATAATAATCAAATGCTGAGTTTTATTGTTATGTGGTAAGTTTTTAGGTCAAGTCACTAAGAGAAATGGATTAGATTCAACATTTATGACTTTGGATATTTCATGTGAAAGTACAATGTTATAAATAGGGAAATATGTGGAGTTTGGTGTCCAAAGACAAGAGTGTTGGCACTGTACAGTACATTGTTCGGGTCTTGGGAAAAAAGCAATCATAAACTTAAAGGTGCACTATGTAACATTTCTGGTGGAGGGTCCGTCACCTGCTTGTTTCTATTGAGATGTAATTTTTCTGCCTGGAATGTTCCACAGTATGACATTAAACATCTCTACCTTACATTTATTCAGTTACAAGTGGTTTTATAGCTTGAAAATACCAAGAAAAGCAGGCATTCTGACTATAAGCGGGTTGCCTCTCCACAGATCTGACCTGTAATTTGGCCTGGTTTTGTCTCAGTGAAGATAGAATGGTTTAATACCATACTGTGTCCAAACAACAGTTCAGACAAAGCAATCACATCTTTATGGAGAAAAGCAAATGACGGACACTCCACCAGAAAAATTAAACAATGCACCTTTAAACAATACTGCAGTTTATTCACATAAATGCTGGCTTATAGTGGCCTCTCCATGCTCCTGTTGCTATAAACGTTCCATTAGTAGTCTATAAGTGCTGGAGTGTATTTGTGTTTTAAATTGGAAGAACTTAAATATGAGCCTGACATGGACTAATGATAATGTATGGATGTTTGACAGAAGTCTACTGCAGAGGAGTCTGACATTTTAGGCAGGCCATATGTTTTTCTAGGGAGTGGCCAGAGTTACAGTAAAATATATAAGTGCCTTTTGTGTTCTTGTCTGTATATACTGTATCTAATTATTTATTAAGCTTGTATTCCAAAAAAACAGCACATAATGTGTATTGGCGGCATCTTTTATGTGCAAAGGTTGTTTCTGTTTAAATTATAAATTATTTGTATAGATGTGAGCGTTCTCAAAGTGTTAATTTATTTTTGCTATTTTTGAGAAGTTAACAAGTGCTATTGTCAGCTGCAAATGAAGATATTGAATGAATAAACATTAATAAGAACACTGTGAGGTTACTTACTCTAATGCAGCAATTGCTACAAAAATGGTGCTTGTTTATGTATATGTTGGTTTTGCATAACCACTTTACCTTAGTTTTGTAACTATACATGTGCACCATTTCTGTCCTTCCTTGTGACCAAATATTCTTTGATTCAAACCACTTAAGTGCCAATGGCCAGAATTGAGGCCAAATCTGTTATGTTTACTTAAACTGTAACAATTCTGGTTGTTTCTGAAATCCATTGTTGCAAATCCATCAAAACAGAAAACAAAAAGGATTTATAAATAAAAGATGCCATTTAAAAATGACAGGAATGTTTCCTAGTGTGTTTCCTGAAGCGCATTCTCTGTTCTTTTAAGTGATGTGAGCATAGCTTCAATAACCACTTAACACTTGGCGATACACTTGGAAATGGCGCCATCTCTTGGAAATGGCGAAGAACTGCTGCGTGTGAAAGCCGCTACTGGTGCGCAAACGCGCCCCTGACGCATGGGCTTATGACATTATCTATTACATGGAAAAGGCGATAGGCTTTCATGTAAAGGAATGGCATCCCAGTTATGCGTACCATTTCATGACCAACCCCTTTGCACCGCGCCAGTCTCTAATGTTGCAATATGCTGGTCCACTAAATACCCGATACTTTAGTCAGTGTCATACTCACAGGCACAAGCAATCTTCCATAGTCGTGGCCCTGTGCTGTCTTGTAAAATTGGCCATGAAATGCTTAGACTACCGGTAAATGCTCTCGATCGCAACATCAGAAGAAGAGAAGTGGGACCACAAGGGTTCTGTCGTTGCTCTCCGGTGACAAGTGGTCTGTTTTTACACCTTCCTTCTAAATAAGGAAACGGCCTGACAGACATATGACCACCGACCCAATTTAGGAGCAGCCTTAATACCACATCATGTCCTATGCCTCGTGCACGCTACCAATAATATTCTCCAGTATAGCCAGCAGACTGTTGAGCCTTTGACTTGTGGTCCGCACTGAGCTCTCACCACCCCTACGTGAAGACAGCAGGATGCCAGGTGGAATGCCACAGCCATTGCCAGGTTCAAGGGGCTTTTGGTGAGCGCCACTAACTAGAAGGAGTCTAAAGGAGGAGGAGAGAGGAGAGAGTAGGAGCGAGAGAGAGAGGCGCGCGCGGAGGAGCAGCAAAACATGGTAATCACCACTACCAACATCTCCATCACCACCACCACCACCATCACCCCCAACTCTGCCTCTCCTCCACTGCGCTGGAGAGCGCGTTTCATACCCAAAGCCCTGCTCTGCGCTCCAAAAATATCCCTCAGCCAACATGCCGAAGGAAGCAAAACAAGAAGACTGGTATTTTTAGGGTCATTAATTTGGACCACGTGGCCGCAAGGTAAACCGGATGGCCGTTGCGCAGAGGCTCCTCGTCAGTATGTCCTGCGAGGCCGGCACGCCGCAGTGGACGCTGACCGCGGTGCTTCTCCTGGGCTTACTGCTGGGGGTCGTGTCAGCGTACCCTTTACCGAGCAGCAGAACAAATGCAACTTTACTGGAGAAACGTTGGGAGAGCCTGTTCTCCCGGTCTATGTTGGGTATCTCCGGGGAGAAGCCGGACTTGAACTGGGAGAGTGACTATTTGCTGGGCATCAAACGTGTGCGGAGGCTCTATTGCAACGTGGGCATCGGGTTTCACCTTCAGATCCTCCCTGACGGAAGGATAAACGGTGTACATAATGAAAACCAGTACAGTGAGTTCTACTTCCTCCGCCAATCTAACGCAATAGACATAAAGGAGAGGCAGTCAATACGCATGGGTCTGGAATGAGCAGCCTGTCTCCCCCCTCTATTAATTTGCATGCTCCTGTCATCAGACTCTGGGGGGCATTGGATTTCTCCCACGGTAAAGACAAATCTTTTAAAAATCAAGTATCCACATCACATTCTCCCTATAGCTCAACCATAGTTAATACATGGACGCTTTTACGCATGGTTGCGATGGCGACCTCCACACAGTTGTAATAATAGCATTTATATAAATAAGTCTAATTGAAACATTTGCATAGATGCAAATGTACAATGGAGTGAAATGATGTAGAACAAAAGACTGGGAACACTGCGCAGCACTATGCACGGTTCTACCCCTAGACGCAGGGCACAACGCTTTGATGGCAGCTACACAGAAGCTCGGGAAACTGTTACAATCTATGCTCTTTCTTTGTTCTATGTCAGGTTTAATAGAAATCTCTACGGTGGAGAGAGGGGTGGTGAGCCTGTATGGGGTGAAGAGTGGGCTGTTTGTCGCAATGAACCGCCGCGGGAGGTTATACGGAACGGTAGGTATGAACAGAATTTCATTTATTGACGCACTATGTTAGTTGATGGGGTTCTAAAAGTAGGACGCACTTGCAGCATGATCCGCCTTTTCATTTTGCCCGTCATATTTTAGGACAGGACTCCTGCCAGACCAGCTGGTTGCTGCTACTTTCATAAAAGTGACCGATAGTGCCCGAGTCCCAAAACTAATTATGTTCTTTGATGATAAATACAAGTAATTGAAATAATTTGAACTCTTATAAATTATTATTGTCATCTGCATTAAATTACATTTTGGGTATATATATATATATATATATATATATATATATATATATATATATATATATATATATATATATATATAAGTTTTTATTTCTATTTACCTTTTGCTTGAGCAGTTACTTGAAAGATGAAGACAGTTTAGTAGGACACATAATCTGGCACACATCTTGTGATACTAGTTTGCTGGAAAACCAATAACCTGATATTAATAATAATCTGACTGAATGGATTAATAATAATATACTTAAAATCTGTGACCTATATAAAAGTAATGCCTTTTGTAAAGTTCACATGGCTCATCTGTCTTTTTCAGACAGTCTTCCATGATGAGTGCAAGTTCAAGGAGAGCTTGCTCCCAAACAACTACAATGCCTATGAGTCTCAAGTTTACAGAGGCTTCTACATAGCTCTCACCAAGCATGGCCGGGTCAAGAGGGGCAACAAGGCCACCACCGCCATGACTGTAACGCACTTCCTACCGCGAATATGACAAGCAAAAGTTGGCAATAACAACCTTATTTGCACATGTGGATTATATCCCAGGTAATATCATACATAAACACAATATGGACTCCTAGAGAAAGAAGTAACAATATATCTTAAAGTATTTAATAATTTATTTGTATATTTCGGTAACTTACTTTGAGTTGGAGGATGTAGACATATCATTTGGTGCTGCTTTTTAATTAAACATATTTTTTGTAAGACAAGGGAATGAGGAAGCTTGAGTAAACAGTTTTAATGGGTGAAAGCTTGGTTTGCCCTGTCAGTGGAATGCACTGATGGAAAATGGAATGGATATTTTTTATTACCTCAAAGCACTGTAGAAAAAAATGAGGACAATACTAGAAACTGTGTGCATGATATTTCGTAAAAGAATGCCTGTAACTGCGATCATTGTTGTTATTTATCATTTGATGTTTTTTGTCACTGTCAGGGCAAGCAAAACATGCACAGAGATGTTTTTTCTTGCTTTGGTGAGGTAGAGGTGCCTTGAATTCCTATATGCGGCCCACCAACCCTTGCATGTGAGAAATGTGGTGCTCAAGTCAGAAATAGGAACGAAGCACATCACTAGTCTCTCGCTGACACCAATGAGACTTCAGCCCAATTCTTGGAGGGTCAGAACAAAGGCTTATTTAATTTCTTCCCATAGTTAAAGATGCACTATAGGTACGTTTTTTGAAAGGGTGTCCTCTTCCATGGCGCCTATATTGCTTTGCCCAGAATTTTCCACAGTAGAGCATTTGACTCTGTTAAAACCAGTTTTACATTCATTCATTTATAGGTGTCTTTATCTCTTAAACATACTCTGAAAAACAAGCACTCTTACTGTGAGTGTTGTTGCCTGTCTACAGATCTAAACTGTAAATTGGCCTGGTGATTTTGCCTGTTTGTCTCCATGATTACAGACAAGTTTACTGCTATACTGTGGAACATTTCAGCTAAAGCAACAACATTTTGAAGAAGACTGGCAAATGGCAGACCTTCTGACAGACAATGTACATATGTGCATCTTTAAGTGTTGGTGACTCTATGTAGCACACATCCCAGGGGAGACTCTTGATGAAATGAAAATCTTTGTTCAATCATTTAATTTCCTCCTATTATTTGCAATGGAGCTTTGACAATCCTAGGTTTTACTTTCACCAATGTTGCTCAAGTTTAAAAGCATTGATGAAATATATTTTGGAAGATATACAGCTGGCCATTTGTTTTACAGAATTTTGATGGTTATTGGTATCTATGTGTGGCAATTGTAATGAGATAAAAACTCAAGTACTATCATTGAAATAGTAAGTAAGTTTGGCCATTTGGATCAATAAGTAAGTTTTGCTTGGTCGGGTATGTGTATCTTATTTTAACGGGTAATGAAGACAGAGATGTGCTGTTTTAAATGTCCTATATTACACTTGACTCTTGTGAGCTTTAAGCCATGTTAGAATGTTGTTAAATCATCAAAAACATACCTAGAGTTGTGTTTTGTTTCATTCACACACGCTTGAATAATCCTGCATTATTTGGATGATCCATCTCCAAAGCTCAAAATGCTTAGTTCCACCTTGTGATGTCATGTTGTGGTAGTTTTTAAGTTACCACCAACTTTTTACCTTTAGTTCAGTAGAGGTGGTGACTTAATGGCTGAAATGATAGAAATTGTTTAATTGAAGATGTATGGATTTAAAACACTGTGGAGTTCAAAAACACAGTGGTATTGTGATGTCGTGTACATACAGGAAGTGAGTGTGTTTAGTTTGAGTGAATAACTAAGCCTACATATACAAGATTTGTGCGTTAAACATGTATGAATGAAACAAAACACAACTCCAGGTATGTTTGTGTTGAGGAAACATTATAACAGTGTAATACAGGCCGTTTAATGCAGTGTACAATACTTTATTCAGGGACAAAGCAGGGTGAAGATAATGACAGAGAATACTAGGGTGAGCATGGATTTAAAGAGGACAGGTACACTGTGAGCGTACTCAACAGAGCTAAAGTGAAGTGCCATTCATGTTTCCGGATCAGAGATAGTCTATGTCTTTTTTATTTGTGATTCAGGCGCATTTCAAGGTCCACCTATTTGAATGTTTTTATTATCCATCTCTAATGTGCAATGAAATACTCTTTTCACTTTGTAAACATGTTTATGCCACTAATATATTTAAACCTGCTGCCTCTCAGTTCAGCTGTTTCATGGTGGATCCATAAAGAGGTAGTTTTAACCTCTTGATGGCTTTGACATACAATACTATAGAACTGTCTGCACCATTCATCTTACAGAATTGCAGATCCAGATGCTTACTGCAAAAACTAAAATCTAGCCAAGTTAAAATTACTTGAATTAAGTTTCATCATGATTTGACTAAGTTTCACTTGACAAGTAAAATTATCTACCAATGAAACAAGACTTTTTGTAAAATAAATTTTGTAAAATATGAAAATACATCTTGCTACACTTAAGATAAGAAAAACTACAACTCTTTGCACTTAAAACAAAAAAAACAAAATCTAATGTTGCTTGAATTAAGAAAATCACACTTATTCCATTGGTAGATAATTTTACTTGTCAAGTGGAATCTAATCAAATGGAGTAAAATGTTCTAATTCTTTTTTTTTTTTTTTTTTTTTTAACTTATCTAGATATTGTTTTTGCAGTGTGTAGGCAGTTATTCACTATATGTTTGAGAATGAGCAAGAATGTGTTTTTGGACACTTGTCATTTTTTGTTTCTTACAAAAGATGCAATATCTTGTAAATTTAATATGAGCCTAAAGAACAGGGCTCTACCTGTGGAAGCTACTGCAGTGTGCTCTCCTCTGTAGAAAGGCACAGACATGAGTCTTCAAAAGGCTGCAAGAGACCGCAGGTTCAGATGTAGCAAATGGCCATGTAGAACAATCAAATGCTTCCAAATAAACTGGGCTGGTAGACTGAATACTGTGAACTCAGAAAGATATTTTTTATTTTAATGGCATGTTCATAATTTTAATTTACAGACTGTTTTTGTTTGAATCTATTACAATTTTAGTAATACCACTGATCGCACTGGTTGGGGAGTATGGGATTTATTCTAAACACTTTGGTACACATTCTGATGTGCGATAAAAAGGCAATATAATGTTACAGTCATGTTGGGCTGTAGCGGCATGAGCAGTTTTATTTACAGTGGCTTATAGATTATAACTTGTATAGCTGAATTGAGAATAAGCATAAATAAATGTGAAGAGCACATTCACATTGTGAATAAGGTAACAGTTTTCTGTGGAGTTCCTCTTCAGTCTATTCTTTTAAAGGTATTCTTATACTTGTTCAGTACGAAAGAGTTGGTCAGCAGGACATAGGTCATTTGGGGGGACTGTATGTTTATGTATGTGCCACTGTGCTCCGGCAGCCTTTGTGTTTTCAGTTTTCTATTCCTGCACTGAGGGGAGAGTCTTTCCTCTTTTTTAACATATACCTCACCTTCTGCCTTAGTTCTGATTATTGAAATGATTGTAAATTACTTTAAAACAGCAGATTTCTCCAATCATTTATTTCTGAAAAATATGAGTGAGTAAAATATTATATTACAAATGGTTTTCCTTTTATTTTTGTACGTATGTGCTGTGCACAGCAGTCAACTGTATTCCTGAAGAGACAATAAAAGACTTTTTGTAAAAAAGTGTACTTTTGCTATTCACTGTAGGCTACTTCATCTGAACAAGCTCAGAGCTACAGGCATTAACATATTTTATCACCCTTAGATTAAGTTACACTCACATGTGTCGCCCTCTTGTGTCCAGATATGGCACTAGTGTTTGTAAATGAAGATACTGCCCATATCTATATTCTGACGAAATATATACAACAAATGAATTTCTGTGATATGTACTCACTAAAGCAGTGCACAACCACCTCCCACCTTTTGAATTGGCACATATATCATTATATATTTTCAGTGACCTTATTCTTTCTTTTGGATCAGGGGCTCACTGGGCTCACTGTCAGACACTGTAATATTCAAGGCAGTGGCAGCTGATGGTATATATATTGTTTATATATATATATAATTAATATAGCTACATAATTTGTCTTATATTTCATCAGTCCCCTATATTACGCAGGTGTAGGCCATACTGCTGACTATACTTTGTTACACTCTATGGAAAGTAACATTTTTAATTGTTTATGTTACTGGCAAAAGGCAAAAGGAGAAATTCAATTTGTGAACTATGTTACTCATCAATTACGTTACTCGTTACTTTGGTAACTTTTTGGTTGTAAACTCCATCGAAGACTAAATACCGGCACGAGACTGATGGTCGAATCGACAAGTACCATAAGAGAAAGTTGAAAAGAACTCTGAAAAGAAAAAGGACGTTAAAAGGTAAAACATAAACCCCACCCCTACGCGGGTCCGTGCAGTTTGCCCAAGGGATTCGACTCGGCGGGAGCGGGACGGCCGCTCGGAGCTGGAGGAGCCCCTGAAGGGACCTCTCCCCGGGTGTCACAGGCCCCTGCCGAGCGCACTTCCTCCGAGGCGGTGAGCCGCGACCGGCTCTGGGTCAGCCAGGAAACGCTCGAGGTGCGTCCATTACAGCTCCTCCCGCCCGGACCCCGCCGCTTCCCAGGCCGTGGGATCAGTGCCTGCTGCACCAGCGTACACAGAAAAGCGACATTGCCCCGAAGTGAAAAAGGAACTATGTTATGCGTTACACAATTTTTTTTTACCGAAAAAAGTAGTTACATTACTGTAACGCCTTACTTTGTAACTTAATGCCTCTCTTCTTGCTTGACAGAAGGGTCCCACTGAAGAGAAGACGTATTACTCCCTAAAAACTGTTCCTTGGACGCACTTTGACTTTAAGTTGAACACGCCAAAACTGTATAGCACACAACACTATTGTTATCCATTCATTAGCCTGTAGCAGTGGAGCCAGTGGAGAGTTGGGGCTGGGCAGGAAAGAGCGAGCAGCTCAATCACAATAGGTCCGGTGTGTGATGAACGTTTATAAAGATTAATCAGTTGATTTGAGTTCGCCCGAACAGCGTCTCCAGCAAACTCAAAGGACAAACACATGAATCAAATAAAATGATATGACATATTTAACATGATAAAAATATGTCTATGCAGATATGCATTAAATTTTAGACAAAATATGAAATATATAGCCTAATACAAAATAACAACTTTATATATATATATATATATATATATATATATATATATATATATATATATATATATATATATATATATATATATGTGTGTGTGTGTATAAATTTTTATTTTTTTTTTTAAACTAGGTCAAGTTAGAGAGTGCGGCGTTTGCGCCCTCTGTTGACCAGCTGCCACTGTTTCAAAGTATTCTTCAGTCTACAGGAATCCTTAACCACAATTTGGTAAATGAGTTAGCTAGTTTATTGACCCTCTATTTAAATAGAGTGGTTGGACTTTCTCCTCCTCCAGTGGCACGCCACACACCGGCCTGAGTAAAGTGCTGTGAACAGAGAGCACAGTGTCCCTCTGATCATGCCACTGGCTTCCTTGTGCTTCGTCCTGATTGCTGTTCATGTGTCTGTAATGGTGGATAGTAAACCCTGGCAGCACAAACTGGACCTACAGACCAGCCTCACCAATCCAGCCCGGACAAAACCACGATATATAGGCCAAAGGGAACCTATGAGCAGCAGTGAGTGGCCTAACTTCTTAGGTAAGTCTTTACATGGAATATATAAATATATATGTACATATATATGTATTTGTACATTTGTTCATTGTTTTTTAATTTTCTTGAATGTTCTAAATCAACTTTGATTTACATTTATTCTGCAGTTATTTTGCCAGTAAAAACACATACCAGCAACTTTGTGTCAATATTTAATTTGAGAAGAAAACGGTTTCTGTGCATGGACCAAGAGGGAGAGCTGTTTAACTCAGTGAGTTTTTTTTTTTTCAGATTGAAATATGTATGATGTAGCTAAACATCTCTAAACATCTGTAATTGGGGTCCCTCTTCTTTACAGAGACATAGCAACACAGAGGACTGTCTTTACCAGCGGCTTTGGCTGGACTGGCCCATTAAGCATGATGTGTATTATTCCACAAGAGGAGCCCGGCTCTTGAAGTTGCAAGGGGTGGAGTTGAACGTGGCCATGCAGGAGTCTTCACAAATAGCAAACATACGGCACAAACTCCTGGAGCGATTAAAGAGACAAAGAAGAAGTCAGGAGGTGAATCCTTCTGATCCTTTACGATCTGAAACCCATCCTACCAGCAACAAGATGGAAACTGATAACCTGAACAGGGATCAGACAGGTGCAGTGTCCAAAGAGACTATCACCTCATGTGATGACCCTCTCAAAGTGCTGCAAACGAATGGATCTGGGAGCCCTGTAAAAAACAATATTGGAAATCAAGCTGAAGATGCTAAAGTAGTGGTGGAAATTTAAATTGAGTAGTGGGTCAAATATGCCGAGGGTTTAAATAAGACCATAGGGAGATCAAGCCCACAAGCATCTGATAATGCACTGGCTGCTATTACTTGTGACCATGTCATGTGAAAGGATCAGCATTATTTAAGAGATGTTTTCAGCGTGTTGTATCTGTCCTACTGTTACATCACAGTACCCTGTCCATGTGTTGTTTAAACAACAGATAACTTAAGCAACATTTAACATAAGGCCTGTACTCGTTTGGTCCAGGACCTCCTTAACTTAACTTATTTGTCAGATAAAGATTAAGTTAATATACTTTTGTAACTTTCAAAAATTATAAAATTATAATGGTCAGATTAACAATATTGTGCTTTGTAAGCTTGATAGTGAATGATAGTGAATATTCACTCTTGGTGGTGGTAGACTACTTGTTTAGCCACAGCTGTCCTGGGCCAGGCTGACAAGAGACTTGAGATGTGGCAGCCATTCTACACCAACAACCTTTGCGACCACTCTCTCTCTTTCTCGCTCTATCTCACACACACACACATACACACACACGCACGCACGCTCACACACACACACACACACACACACACAGTCTGGAGACTCAGACTTGTATATTCATGAAATATTTGTTGCTTAAGAAATATTTTGTTTGATTAATTGTAAAATTGCACTGCTTATTGTAACTTAAGACATTTTTCATTGATGATCCAGATATATGTGAGGTGCTGGACACAGTCACAGCAGTGAAGTAGTATTTATTTATTATTGTCCTCAATTATTATTTATATATTTTATTGTCCTACATTTTGTATAAACAAATAAATGAAAATCCACAACTGTTTGAAGATTACCTGTCTGACTCAACACAAAAGGCCTGACTCAAGACAAGCTGTCTTTATCATGGTCATACCCAATACTATATAACACTATACAAAAGGAATACACAGTGACATTTATTTATGTAATTTGTGAAAGTACACATGTGACACAAGTCATCTGAGAAAATGATTTACCAATAAACCAAAGCAGAGAGATAAAAAGATATAATTTTGCTTTGTCATGATCGTTGATGTTGGAGGGATGCAGTTTCATCACATGACGTCTGTATGTGGTTTTCTCTGTTGACCCAAGTGTTAATTCACAACAATGACAGAGTCACTTATTTCCTAGAGGTCAACACAGGAACAGTTTTAGCTTTTACTCCTACGCAAATCCAAACACTGGAAGGATAAATATAGAAGCTCTGAAACTCATTAGTTAACAGGACTTTTCCTATTTACTATAATGAGCAACTACACTCTGCAAAGTGATAAAGCCATAACTTTTACCAAAGCCCTATGACAACACATCACTTGATCTGTCCTTCTATATTAAAAGTATAGGTTTGTGTATGTTGTTGTCACATGTATAAACTGTATTTTAGTCATTCCCCTAAGGGCTGAAGATGATCTGCTCTGTGCATGAAAACACAGTGGATCTGTGTTTGTCTGAACGAGTCCTTCTCTTTCTCAAGTGAAACTATAAAACGACACAAGCCGGTGTTAGGACTCAAAGACAACATATGTGATTTGTTCAAAACCTGAGGAATGGAACAATTTAAGTTTTCCATAAAATACTTGACAGCCTCACGCATATAAGCTCCATGAGTCACAACAAGCACATGGACAGGGGCGTCCTGAAGGCCATCGTGGGCCCTCCCCTCCACAGGAGCCTGTATCGGTGCTACAGAGGAGCCACTCTTTCCTCCATGTGTCTCCCAGTGCTCCTGCCCAATCTGCTGGAGCAGTTTGTCCCAAAAAGCTTTGAAACGCTCCTTGACCTGAACAAAAGTTTAAAAAGTAAGCCTAAACAATAGAAAAAAAGTGAATGTACCTTTGATTTGTGTAAATAAAAAAAAAACAAGTAGATAAACTTTTTTTCAATTTCATAGTCACACAATACCTGACGTCTCATTACACTGTGCAGAGTGCACATCATATTTCTTTTACTAGAAAGGTTTAGGCTCACAGTACAGCACTGAGGTGACAGGGTTGCCCTTTGCTTACGTCATGCTTAACTTTGTCTACAGTCATTATAGTGACTTCCAAATGGATTGTCACGTACTGGGATATGAGTTAACATCCAAGGCCAAAAATAATGGATGAAGACAAAGATGAAGTCTCTTTAAATAGAACAGATTCTTCTGACGCCCCCACACACAACACCACTCTAGTGACTTTTTAATCCATGACTCTGACTGTCACCATGAAACAACCTTGTAATATACTTGGTAAATAAGAAGATTCATACTTTTTTGACCAAGTAAATTTGTGCCCAGTAAATTAGTATAGGTACTATGAAAAGTAAACAAACAAAAACATATATTAACAGTATTTATTTTTATAATGCATGTTTAGTCCTTACCGTATACTATTTATTTCAGTCTCTTTTCACAAACCTATATCATTGAGGTTCAGTGGGCAAAATTTTGAAAAAAGAGTCAATGCAAACTCCTTTGTTACATAAATAATTAAAAGTATTTCAAGAATTCTAACTCACTATCCTTGTTCAATCTTGCTTTGTTGGATCATGCTGTTAATACAAGCCACTACTGCTATTCAGTACCCAATAAAATTGAAATGACTATAGACAAACAAAAAACAGAAGGGTATTTTACTAATATTTATTTAATTGTGTTTATTTTTAGTTTATTTACTGTAATTAATATTCATTGATGTAGCATAGAATAATAAAAGTCATTCACTATATAAGTTTATACAGGTTTTGTGTCCACCACTTCATTAGTAATGTAACTGGACTCACCTGTTCTCCAGTCTCTCCCCCTGGAGGAGTGAAGTCTAGAAAAGACTGACCCGCTGCTTTGGCCAGTTCCTTAACTTCCTTCACTTGTTGTCCCTCTGCTATTCCAAAACTCTATAATATAAGATCCAAGTATAGAAAACACTTAAATATACATCACAAGATGAAATGAATATATGTAAATCTCAAACCTTTTCTTTGAGTAAAGAGTCACAATTTATTTGTGAAGCTGAACAGCTACAGTTATGTTTCAATATGGATTCTGCGGTCTGAAAATAAAATGGAAATCATTAAGTTATTTTACATGGAAATTAATAGTAAATAAACCATCAACGATTTCATATTAGCAAAATCCAATCTGTTAAAAGCCCAACATTACATGTTAATTTATGTTTGTTGTATTTGTCTCTATCAAAATGATAAATAAATACCTGACGTGCTCGTAACATATCGCTCACATAAACATTGCTGAACTTGACGTCCTTAAGGTAGAGTCCTGCAGCGTCTGCCTGTTTAAATCCAATATTAGACAGAGGTGAGTCTATCGCTTGACCTAAAGACAGAAAATAAAGAAAGAATTTAAACTCAGTTCATTGGCTTTTTACAGAAATACTTCCTCATACCTTGTAAAATACCCTTTCTGTTATAGCTGGTTTCTCCACTGCAAAAGGGAAAAAAAGTATATAGTGTTAGGGTTCTCTGTTGTACTTCTATACACACTCTTTAATTCAATATGTCATATCTATAAAATGCGCCAAGCTCTTGTCATATCCACACCCTATTTCTGCCATAATTTTATTATCCTGATGACAATGATGTATTGACTGACCTGGGTAATGGCTGAATGATTAACATTGTATACTTCATATTGAGTTGTTGTGTGTCCGCCTCCTGTGTAGGATTTACCAGCCAGTCAGTGGGCAGAAGGATATGAAGAGTGGCACACAAAGAAAAACAGAACCTGAGGAACATTCATTGATCTAAACTTGTCTCATGAATGCAGTTTCCAGAGTAAGTATGAAGGTCTTGTCTTGTTTTCTATGTTTACTGCAGTTGCCTAGTACCTAGGAATATGCATATACATATATTATCTGTGTAGTTCCTATGATATATACCAGCGTTTTGAAAAACATATATTCGACCACAGGCTATGTACTAATAAAAAAATATCTATTTTATGTTGCATTTCATCCAAAATACAGTGTAGTGAATGGTCAACATTTATTTCCCTAGTTTACAACCTCTGCATTTCAACAAAAAAATATTAGTCAATTGCTTTTGTCATAGGCCCTTTTCATGCTGCATTCTGGCTAGTTCTGGTTCTCAGAAAAGTGTGTATATGTACTTCCGGTTAACTACTTACATCACCATAAAGGTCTTAAAATGCTGCCTATGATTATACATCCAAAATTTTATGTCCAGCTCTGCACTGAGCTGGAACTAGCTGGGCAGCTGCATGGAGGGATAGTGAAAAAGGTAAAACCCTTCATAAGCCATGAATAACAGATAATCATCAGCAGGCAACATTGCCACTTTCAGTGAACAAAATTCACAAACTAGGAACTTAATTTGGACATCATGGTGCAAGATTAAATAAAAAAACAAGGTATAATCTTTGATAAAATACATAAAATAGTAAATGCAAAAAGGTGCTATAAAGTGACAGGTTATAGAGTGCTCATGAGTCCAACAGCAGAGGGGTAGAAAGAGTTCTTGTGGCAAGAGGTTCTGGTCTGAATAGACCGTAGCCCCCTGCCCGAGGGCAGGGGTTCACATAGTCTGTTTCCAGGGTGAGAAGGGTCAGCTGTAAGCCGACCTGCTCACCCCAAGTCCTGGAGACATACAGGCCCTAGAGAGATGGAGGCTGTCGCCAATCACCTTCTCAACGGACCGCACAATTTGCTGCAGTCTATGTGGGTCCGAGGCAGTGGCCCAGGCATACCACACCGTGACGGAGGAGGTGTGGATGGACTTAGTCCAGGTGCTTCAGGATGAAATCACGGGCTAGGTTCATAGTATCATCTACAGACCTGTTGTAGGCAATGTCAAGTGTCTTCATGACACGCTGTGACACTATGGCATGCTCTCAAAGAAACTAGGCGTACTAGGTGACCAGTAGTCCAAAGGAATAACTTTCAAAGATATATATTTTTTCAAATAAAAAAAAAAATATATAATGAAAATGTGACACAGCAATGCTCCAAAGGAGTAGGCAGAAGCAGAAGGCTCATTAGAGCCTACCCCCTTTCACATGGAATAGTACTAACTCTTCAGGTGGAAATCCTAGGACAGACACAAGGCAGGCAAGGAGGCAGAGCAGTGGTGAGTCAATATTTCCATCTTGATAGTAGCATGTCTTCGGTGAAATGAAAGTCTGAGTGCTGAGTATAAAAGAAGGCTATATTTTGTGGTGTATAAAGAGTCCATGGAGTGTGTGGGTCCCCTTACATGATTGAGGCAGAGAATACTTTTTTCTCAGTGTTATCCTGAAAGTGGGCAGCCAATAGCCAATAGTGAAGCTCGTGAACATAGAATGAGGGTGTAATGGAAACCATGCGACAGGAAACTGATATGGCATTAAACTTACCGGTATTTGTCTTGCATTTATTAATTTACAAATGCTTGGAAAAACTTGCATGCTTACGAACAGGGTCACCTGCATGTTTCTAATAACATTTTCAAGGAGACTGCAGATGACCCTCTTCCAGAAAAGTGACATAGTGCATCTTTATCACGCAGACTACCAAAATGCACCAAAGGCTGCCTGAAGCATTAGCCGAGACTAAACCATTCGGGTTATGAGCTACACACGGCAATACTGACACCTCGTGGTGAACGAACGGAAGTAGGTTCTAGGTTTGTAAGGCGATTTTTGTTTTTTCTTTCTTTCTTTACATTTTAGCTTCTCGTACGCCCAGTGTCAAATACATAGTAAACTAGACTTGGTCTGAATGCCAATGGCCCGCAGCACATGTGCAGCTCTTACAGTGTTAACGCGCCATTTAAAAGTTTTATGCCACACACGCATTGGACTGTTGAAACTTACTGTCGGACAAGAGTAAGTCCACAAATGAGAGTAGTCATTCTCTTCTCGTTGGATCTGAAGGCACCGTCCCGGTTTAACAATAACCTATAGGTTAGCCCATTGCACGACGGCGAACCGAGCCTTACTGTGGTCATGTATCGAGCAGCCGACAGCTATAGGACTGTACCAACCAGCCAGCTGTGTCTGTCACTATGTAGCTACGGCTAAGCCATACAGGCCACTGTAGTTCAGTGTACATGATGCGTGATGACTGAGTGACCTACTGTTGTGAAAACCCGTTCCTGCCAAAGGACACTGGGGAGAACAGTTTTCTTCTCCAGGGCCGAAGGGTCGCAGCAGCTGCTCATCCTTCAGGGTTTAATTCTCTATTCTGCACCTTTCCATGGTCAACAGTGCGTGGGTCCATCAGTCCAAAGATCACTCCAATTTGTTGCTCAAGAATTTTTTTTACCGTAATGCACATTCCTATTAAAGGGCGTCATACGCAGACGTCAAACAGGATTGGCCACTGATTTCAGTGACAGGATAAGTCAGATTTCAATGACAGGATAAGTGTTTTAGATAAATCTAAAACACAGTAGCCTACTAGGCATATACATGTACATTCGTCGTCTAATAAAATGCACCACCAAACTTAAGGCTATAGCGCCTTGCCCGAGACTACAAGTCTCAACTCTGGCCTCTTGCCCAAATCAAGTCTCAGATCTTATGCTTTGAGTTTCAAGACTGGTTTTATTCTTTTGTTCATTATGATTTTTGTAAATATCCTTCTTTAAAAAAGTTATAATCACAATTAGAGAAGTGGGGAGGCAAATGGTTCAGTTTGTTACTATAAAAATAATTAACCCATTGAAAGTAGCCTACTCTACATGAACTGTCAACTGTACAGAAAAGAGCACATACACGTTTATTATTTGAGAAGCTTCAAGGTGTCTCAAGTCACAGGGCTCCAAGTCAAGTCCTGAGTCACTGGCATTCAAGTCCAAGTAAAGTCCCAAGACCCTAAAATAGTGACTCAAATCTAAATCGAGTCCAAGTCACCACATGGCCACACCTCTGCTATTTGCTATAGCCTATTTTTATGTGGGTATGTGCACCAAAAGACTGCAAACTGTAAACAAACAAACAATAGACTTCATCAGTGAACTGATGTGGTGTCACACCCTTTAAAGCAGAAATTTATTGAACAGAGGTTGTGCAACAGACATTTGAGGTACATAACATGAGTTACAATGTAGGGGAAACTTGATATCCGCACAGATGACATTCAGCTTTTGATTATGGCAGATTAATCAAGTTGTGCATAATACAATTCTGTAGCCTATGTACAATTGTTTAAACAAATTTAAATTGAATCCAAATGTACTAATGTGTAAGGCCACTGTTGTAGGAATGCTCAACCCCTGAACATAACAATCAAACTTAGCACCGGAATAAACACAGTGGACATGTCTGAACTTTTTCTGTTGAAACAACCCCAAAAGTATGTAAATGCAAGATGACTCTTGCTACAAAAGTCCTTGGGGATGCAGTACACTGTTCCCTCCTTGTATTTAGGCGTTGTAGAACAGAGAGATAAGCCTGTCCAGGCTTCCAGACTGCAGAGGTATAGGTGATAATTGTTGAAGTTTCTCCAGTAATCCTGAGGTATCTGTAATACCACTGATGCAGAATGTGACTAAGTAGAACAAAGTAGATTTACAAATGGAAAAGACATGCTAGCTAAACTGTCAAACTGTACAAAAGCATGTCCAGTCAAATACTCGTATCATGTTCTTCTATAACAATCTACTTCGGTTTTCTGAATGTATGTCTTAAGCAGTAAAATAATTATATTATAATACAAATGTTTATAAAATAGCAGCACACTCATGTGACACATCACAACTAGGCAATGTCATTTTTTGTATAAATGAAACAAATTCATAGCTTTTAGCAGCGCAAAACAACAAACCTAAATTCAAATATTGACACTTTTTCTTGATGTCTTCACACCTCCTTCTCTATCCTTGCTTCACTTTGGAATACAGTATCTCTCAATAGTAGAACACCCATACGTGGGTCTGGTCACCCCAATAATATGTGGTACTTGATGTCAATAGATAACAAATAAACACAAAATGGCAGGGAGAGCTTACATAGGGCTGAGGAAAATAAGGGGTAAAACATTTTATGGCAAGTATCATAATTGCTTGGTTAAATTAAAACTAAATCCAATTACACTCAAAGTAATAAACTATTTGAGCAAATAAGTCTGACACCATACATTGCAGTGTCCCCATGAATATATCCTGACTTTGTGCTCTTTCGGCTGAACCCACATTAAAACTGATGTGAAGCAGCAAAGCTCATAGGGAAGATGCAGTGGCAAACATAAACTTAAAAAAGCTAATTACAAGCCAGCACTGTCCACTGACCACCAACTGCAACACATTACTTGAGTTGGTTCAAAAAGCATACCTCATTGTGCAAACATATGATGTAAGACCTCCTCTGTCGTAGCTGTGTGACTGTTTTATGCAGATAAATAAAAAGAAAAAAATTCAAGTAAAACAATATCTTGATCCCAAAATAGAGCCGATGGTCAGATTTAGCCTCTAATTCATATCAAACTAAGAGAGTCATGTTCATTTGGACTCATATTTTCTTAAAGGAATGTTTTTGTTGGAATGCCGGAAAGCCTAAATTTAAAACTTGCTTGAGAAGGGTTTGTGTGATGATTGGGAAACCAGCCCTACAAAGTAAACCAAACAAAAGGCTAACAAATAAAAAAGGAAACATCCATTCATCTCCAATCACCAAATGTATTTCATTTTACTTATCTCCTACGGAGCATGTTCTCAAAGTGCTTTACCATTGAAATCATATAAAGGAACACAACCCTATCTGGGACTCCAGATACATTGACAGTATTTTCTTATCATGTTCTCTGCTAAGATGATTCTCACATGATCAGTATACAGTCTTGGTTCCTCATGTATATCCATTCGTTTGGGCAGTTTAGGTCATTATATCCAGAAATAAAATTATGCTTGAGTTTCTTGAGTTAAAGTTGTGAGGCGTTCTGGCAGCTTTTATTCATCATTTCCAGCTCCAGGCTGTACATTGTCCTTACAGCAGCATGCACCTGCTCCTCAGACATCCTCTGTCCTATCCAACAGCGCCACACAGGGGTCTCCATGGACCCAGTTCATGAGTCACTTCTTACAGTAACATACCAAGCCTGTCTGATTTAGTCCACTGCTGATGCAGACTAAAGTCCTCTTGACTTTCTATGCGTTCTGTCTGATCTGACAATGGATTTGACACTTGCATTACTCACACAGGCTGAGCCCACACACGTCCTGTAATGCAGTGATATAACATTGATGCCCTCCATATATTTGGACAAAGAATGTGTAGCCTTGGTTTGCTCTGTGATATTAACAGAAACTGCAAATCCTTGATTTGAATGTGTTCTAAGCGCCTTGGAAAACACATTGCTGCAAACGCAGCATCACATGTAGCTTTTACATGTTCCACTCTCTCTCACGCACTCTCTCATTTGCACACACAAGCAGCCTTACAAAAAGAGCTTACTGATCTAAAAGTTCAAATATGACAAATAATCATAATTATTATATATTAACCATGACAATTAAAATCCCATCAAATATGGGACATGATTCATTATTGTTTTTGTGTGTCTCAGCCACTAGGCATGTATTGACCTTCTAAAAACTGAGGAGCTTTAACACTTATTCCAATCTCAACAGTCTCATATTTTATAGTGGACTACTATAAGATATAAAAAGTGTAAGCAACTGTCAATAAATTCAGAATGGTCTCCACAGCAAATGACCAAGCAATCTCATTGATTTTATCTTTACAATCATAGGTAGAATGCAAATTATTGGCTTCCCTTTTGTAAATCCAAGGCACCAGAAGAGCTTCATTTTGAATCAAATGTGTTGCTTGTCAATTAGAAAGTCAAAATCTATTTCAAGGCAGGGTTTTTGACTTGACAAACAGAAGTCTACTAAAAATAATAATAAACTATCAAGCATAGTCCTCTTTCTTAAAAAGCATGTTTTGCATTTTTTTTTTTTTTTTTTTTTTTTTTTTAGCTTTTTTCTGCTTTTAAGAAATCAAGTTTTTATTCCATGATATTTCTTGTAAATCCTGTGCAATGCCGCCCTCTGGTGGTTCATTCATAAGTTGACATCCCGGACATCTGTGGGTGTGGAAGACTGGTCCAGCTCCTCTAAGCCTTTGCCACTGGAGCCTCTCTGTGTTTGCTGCTGCTGCTGCTGTTGCTGTTGACGGCCCTCACGGAGACTGCTCACCAAAACACTCTCGATGTGCTCCTGGCATTCTTTGAGAAAATCCTACAAGACACACAAGAAACAACTCTTTATCAAACTGTACCACAACAAGAACTGAATCATGTTGCTTTATTAATAAATAAAATAAAACTGCAATTTAGATATTTTAATGTTTGACTATGATGCAGTGCAGCTAAATAGTATAAAGCCCTAAATTTGGCTCCTAGTTTGGTTTTAAATGACCACTGGGAGACAAAGACACAGAGTGGACTTAAACATTACATCAGCCCACCAGGGTAGAATACCCAACACCTCTTGAAGTACTAGCGGGCATGCATTCCTCTCTTATCCCAGCACCCATATCCCACCTCCACTATCCTAAAACACACAAAACCCAAACACAAGTAGCCTTGACAACAGAGGCTGAAAACACAGGTAGTACTAAAGCTATGTTAATTACATCCACCTCCTGTGGGAACGCAGACTTGGGGCTTTCTTAACGAGAGCCAGTGTGTGTGCCTGCCTGCCTTTGGGGGAACTACTGGGATCTGAATGACTCGCCTTTCACCATCAAAGGCCACCGCTGCAATTTGAGAACCCACCTGGGACAAGAGCCTCTCAGCAGCCTCATATCCTCCTGGATGGAGGGTTGACAGAGCGGAGAGGGCAGGCAAGCAAGTCAGAAGGAAGGGAAGGAGGAGACAACCACTCAATAGGCTGTTAGCAGTTAGGTGGAACCCTAACTGTTTTTGCTCTCTGGTGGTGTCAAAGTGCGCAACAATTGCGCTCATATGTGGGACATGTGCAGCACCTTGCGGCAACAGTGATGACTTAAAAAGTAGAGACATTATGGAGACATTTCACACTAATTCAGACATGATGGAGAAACTCCATAAAAAAATAAATAAATAAAATCACTGTGGCTTCTCAAGAATCATGTGCAGTGGTGT